TAGCCTGGTGACAGAGTCAGACCCTATCTCAAAAAATAATAAAAAAAAAAAAACACATGAGGTCACTTACACCTCCGTTTTTTTTTTTTTTTTAATTTGAGACAGGGTCTCACTGCCTCCCCCAGGCTGGAGTGCAGCAGCTCAATCATAGCTTACTTCTGCCTCTCTGCCTTCCTGCAGCCTCTGTCTGCTGGACTCAAGCAACCCTCCCAGCTCAGCCTCCAGAGTAGCTGAGACTATAGGCGCAGGCTACCACAACCGGCTAAATTTTGTAGAGATGGGGTATCACTCTGTTGCCCAGGGTGGCAGAGGTCACTTTCGTCACCATCTTAGTTTTGGTGGGCTTTGGCTGGTTTCTTTACTGCATTTTATCAGTGGGATCTTTATGACCTGTATCTTGTGATACCAGTCCTGCCGACCTCCTGTCTCATCTTGTGACTAGGAACGCCTAAACCCCTGGAATGCGGCCCAGTAGGTCTCACCCTTATTTTACCCAGCCCCAATTCAGGATGGATTCACTCTGGTTCAGATACCTGTGACATTCTAACTTAAATAAAGTCAACTTCATAAACCCTTTGTTCATAACACAACCCAAACAATTTGTTCTCTGAGCCTGACCTTCACAGATTTTCTTCATATATACAAATTACAGTTCTGTCCCCAGAGACCTTATGCATGCCCAAACCAAAACACTGCCCAGAAAATGGCTCCAGGCTTCAGAGGTACATTCCCAGATAGGACAGAACCCCCAAGCCATCTGCACGTGGGTCTCCTGCCTTCCAGGACTCTGTAACTTCCCAGAATCCACACTCCTTCTGGACCAGTTCTGAGCAGCTGGAGGCCACCTGCAGGGGAGGGCGTGCCTGCCCAGGAAGCATCCTTTCCTTCCCTGGAAGCTCCAGACTGGCCTGAGCGGAGAGTCACTGTCCTCGGGCTCTGCTGCCCCCTGCAGGTAATTCAGCTGCTTCTCACCCCATTGATCAGTTGCTAGAGACAAACACCCTCAATCCCAGTTGTGAATAAGATACCAGCAGAATCCCTGCTTTGCTCCTGTGTGTATGTATGACCTAAGGAAAAAACAGCCGGGTGCGGTGGCTCAGGCCTGTAATTCTAGGACTTTGGGAGGCCGAGGCTGGCAGATCACTTGAGCTGGAGACCAGCCTGGGCAACAGAGCAAGACTCCATCTCAAAAAAAAAAAAAAAAAATGAAAAAAGTTTGCGGGGAGACATCATCTACATAACAGTCCACCTTTGCTAGCTCAGCCTCTTCCTTTCTCACTCTACTAAGCTGTCTTGCTACTAAACCTAATTTACTGACCTCAGGTTGCTATTTAAGCTTCTCTGTTTTATTGCTGGGTGGGTCTTCATTCTGAAGGCTCCCATATATACATGTTAAATACATTTGCATGTCTTCTTTTCTATTAATCAATCTGCCTTGGATCAATTAGTTTTCAGCAAACCTTTAGGACACCAAGAGTCTATCAACCCCACAAAGCCATCCCCTTTTCTCAGAGCAGGAGGGGAACCAGGTCAGGCATGACTCCTCCAGGAGGGAGAGAAACATATCATGCAGTGGGGCAGGAATTGGGATGAGACATGGCCAAGACTTCCTCACATGTACCATCTTCTCCTCACAGTGTGGAAACACTTCCTTCTTCTAGACCTTAATTTTCATTAGCGGGAAACTCTCACCTGAGGTCAGTTTAATCTTATTAGCAGAAACAGCTACCAATCTAGACCCCAAAAGAGAATTCTTGGATCTCATGCAAGAGTGAATTCAGGGTGAGTCCATAAATTAAAAGCAAGTCTATTAGAGAAATAAAGAAACAAAGGAATGGCTACTCCATAGGCAGAGCAGCAGCATGGTCTGCTCGACAGAGTATACTTATAGTTATTTCTTTATTATATGCTAAGCAAGGGGTGGATTATTCATGAGTGTTCTGGGAAAGGGGCAGGCAGTTCTCATAACTGAGGTTTCTACCCCTGTTATATATACCGCATAGGGTAATTTCTGGACATTGCCATGGCGTCTATAAACTGTCACTGCGCTGTTGGGAGTGTCAGCATGCGAATGCATTATAATTATTGTATAATAAGCAGTGAAGGTGGGGCACAGTGGCTCACACCTGTA